ACCTTGATATAATGCAGAAGCAAACTCACTTTTTTTTGAGGAAAATAAAAACAAAACACGTCATCGAATTCGGGAAGATTTTTTCTTTCTACTGTTACTTTAAAACATGAGTTTGCTCCACTAAACCGACAAGTAATCGCGGTTTGAAAATGGGGTACTTTCGCTATATTCTATCGCCGATGGCGGGAATAAACCGCCTGATAATCATCATGGCGCGAAGGAAATTATTGTACTAATCACTATTTTTCATGATAATTTTGAAACATACGCATTTTTGTTCGTACATATTTTAAGTTTAATGCAATTTTTAAGGTTAGATATGCTTATGTTTACCTGCCCTGATTGTATTTTTTCATTTTATTATATAATTCGGCTATTTTGGAGTACTGCTATATATTTTAAACGGGTATATACTTCTGAAGGTACCCCAGGGAAACCTAATAATAAAAGACGCAGAATTTCTCCTTTGAAAAATTCAACATCAAGGTTTTTACAAACATAAAATACAGTATGACCAGTTTGACCACACTAAAACATTGTATATTTTTAATGGGACAATATGTTATAATGCACCAGTCAAAGTAAACCCCGAACCCCCTCACCCGGGGATATAGGTGGGGATTGGTTTTGAATACCGTACCAAAACAGACAAATGCCCCACAATATGGGACAAAATTTTCTAGCAAAAGACAAAAAATGCCCCACCCCCCGGGGGAAATTATAAGTCGTGTGAGTGAATTTATCTCCTGCATAATATCTCCTCGACAATCTCCGGGCCGCCGAATAAACCGTCCACATTTTAAAATATTAATATTTTGTTCCAAAACTCAAAAGAACGATAAAAACATATTAATATAAACAAACAAATGTCGAGCTTTCCACAACAATAGATTCCATGGATGGATGCACATATTAACCGGTATTAACATATAGATTGAAAAGAAATTAAATTAATAATATATTTATAAAATTCCTCTCGATTTCATTTCCTTACGAGCACGCCATTTTGTCCTTTGTCACGTGGTATGAAATGGTAGAACCTGGGGATTCCATTGGACAAAACGGTACAAAATAGTACAAAATGGCCGCAGACAATCCCCTAACAATCCCCATTATCTCCCGGCATAATTCGGCAGAATGACAAAACCAACAAATTCCCGACATGGCTGGGACAGAATTCGATGACAAAAAGTCACTAAATCCCCACCAAGTCCCCTCTTTGCCCGGGGTGGGGGGGGAGGGTCGGGGTTTACTTTGACTGGTGCATAAATGGGGGCTAAAAGTTATTATCATATTAACAGTATTAAAACATTGTATTTTAATGCTTTTATTGCCCGGGAGAATTTCTGTCCATAGGCATACGAGACTGGGGGTTGCAACCCCTCCAGTCAGTGTTTAGTTGGGCAGAATTCTGCTTTAAAAAATTATTGGGAAATTGTTTTAAGATTGACTTTAAACAGTATATAGACAGGAGATGTATTCCTTCTATTTTATACCTCTTGTTCATCTTTAAATAAACTCATGACAATGTTGGGCAATTTCTATCCACCTGGGGCCGGTTGTATCAAAGGCGTTTAACTCGCTAACCACCGTTTAACTCGCTATCCGCCGGATAAAATTTAAACGCTCGAGAAATCGCGTTGTATCAAGCCCGTTTAGGGCTACCCCCCGGTTAAATTTTGCCTATCCACCGTGTAAACTTATACGGTCTCTTGAGACCGTTTAAATCGCTAAACGGCGGATAAACTCGAAGTTTGAAGATAAATCAATGATTATTTCGGATGAAAAAGCATGGGATAGTTATAAAAATGCACAATCATGCAGAGGAGTTATCTTTTTAAATCCAATAAACATGAAAAACTCACTTTTAACTGGCTTGGTCTTGATGTACACTTGTAATTCCGTGGTTTTGCTATTTACGCACACCAGTGTCATGTTTAGATGTTAAGTATATATACTCTGGCTTTTTCTCCTTCTTTTCTTCTATTATATAGTTTGAAAACAAGCAGTAAGACTCCCAATTTTAGCTATTGTAAAACAAACAATGACTTTGGAAAGCCAACAAGTATACAAAATAGACAACAAGACGCCGAAAGTCGAAAAAAAATGTTCGCTCGCGTTAATCGCTTTGATCAGCCAATCAAAACTTGGGACAAAATGTTCTTAAAATTGTTTTGAACAAAAGTGCAAGGTCGAGGAACACATTCAAACAGTATAAAACTGAATCAACTGACAAAAGCCAAATACAACTCACAGTTTTTGCTATTGCCTTCGACTCTTCGCATAAAGAAGCCAAAAATCTTTAAAGAAATATCCGTAAGTGAATTTAAGTGAATGAGAAACTCAGCACAATGTGAAAATGAAAAGTTTGATATAGATTTGCAGCAACGAATGGACGAGCAAACTCCAAATAAAAACAACAACAAACTTTATTGCAAAAGCTTAGTGGAATTCAATGGCCTAGCAACAGCTGACGTAGAGGTAAGAAATTTCAAGAAAATCCGGTTTTCTCCGGTTAAATTAAAGGTTATCCTACGGATAGTTAAACGCGGTACTAAACGGGCTTCATACAACGCAATTTTATCGGCCGTTTAACTATCCGCTAGATAAGAAATTTATACGCTGGATAGCGGCTAAACACCGTTTAAGTTAAACGCCTTTGATACAACCGGCCCCTGTACGCCAATATTATTTTTCAATGCTGGGAGTGGCATTCCAGAAAACCTATAGTACACACATTTCCTGGAGAAGCATGCCCACAATCCTGGTAAACATCCATGAGTTTCTTTGTTGCCGTCTAATTGTGCTGGCACTGAGATTGCCCCTCTCAATTTTGCTGTTTGCTTTGTAGTTTCCTATCAGAAAGATTAAACCGACTCCTCCAAAGAAATCCCCAGTAA